AAAGATGAGTCCTCTTCCCCTCCCTACCTTTCCATGCATTCACAAGCTTTCTCCCACGCTCATCTACACCTCACTGCCGCCTCTGCTGCCACACGTCTCTGCTCTTCTCACTGCCACGGTTGCCAGTGGCTCACCCATGGACCCTCCCCAGGTCAACGGTTTCAGGTGGCAGGTACTTGCAGGTAGCCCCAGGTGGTAAGGTGTGGTATGGTTCAGCTGGTACGTCTCTCTGGGTGAGTCTCTGGCTGCTGCAAAGGCTCTCATGCACCCACTGCACCCACTGCTGCACTGCACACACTATTCCTTAGCCCCAATCCCCCCCCTTTCCCCCCCCTTCCTTCACCTAATTTTGTCCTCGTTACCTGCCCCTTCCCACCCACCAACAGGTACTCCCTTACTGCTTCCGGATGGCTGTGCTGGAGCTCCCTTGGTGGCACGTGGTTGTGGGGTGGTATGGTGGTCTCTGGCTGGAGCAACGGAGCAACGGAGAGCACCGCTGCTGGCTGCAAAGGGAGAGCATGGGGCGTTGGTGCTTCCTCAGCAGGTGAGCGCTCCTCCTTCCCTTGCCTCTCTCATCTAGTTTTGTCAACTGCTCTTCTCTATCACGTCCCTCACTTGTAATATACTCACTTGGATCCCCCCCCCCCCACCCCCCTTCTTCCCCCCCTTCCTCCCCCCCCCCCTTCCTTCACCCCCTTCCTCCCCCCCCTTCCTTCCCCCCCTTCCTTCCCCCCCCTTTCCTCCCTCCGCCTTTCCTCCCTCCCCCTTCCTCCCCCTTCTCTCCCGCCCTTCCCTTGCAGCCACTGGGCAGTGCTTGGATGCGAGCAGAGAGGGGAGGGGCGTGGTGGGGAAAGGACTTGGAGGGGAGGAGTGCCCACCACCAAGGGCATGGAGGGGTGGAGTGCGGTGGATAAGGGCTTCGAGGTGGTGCTACCAAGATACCAGCAAAGCAAGCAGCTAAGTATTTCTGGTTCTTGGCACCCCACCAGTGCCACCACTCATTTGTTCTCGTTCTGCACTTTCAAACCCTCACCCCTGGCCGTGGCTCAGTCTATAGAACACAGACCAACCACCCAGGTAAACTGCCCCCCAGGTACTGCCCTCAGGAAAATTGTGTGTAATGAGTCGCTTTTTGAGTCGACTCTAAAATCCTTCAGGTAAATTGCTCCCCTCTAGCCCTAGAGACTTGACTAGCGCCCCTTGGCCCATCCCAATGGTCTGTGTTCTGTAGCTGCTGCTACACCAGGGGTGAGTCCGTCATTTTTGCTTTGCAATGCGTGAGTTTTCTTCACATCCCATGTACAACATCATTTCTCCCTGCACAGATTTGCCGTTCTATCCCCCTCCTCCCCCCCCCCAGCAGGGCCTCTGATGGGGATGTCAGGGGCGAGTCCAACCAAGCACGCCCTGCTGTTTGCACGCCACCAGTGGCAGGGAGGATGGCAGGGGTGAATCCGCGCCAGCTCAGCAACGCTGCTAGGAGGGTATCTGGGTTGGGTGCCACCGACCTTTTCCAGCTAAGCACTCTGCTCCTCCATAGACCTGACCTTCCACTTCTCGCTTTGCAGTGTTTTTCTTCCGTTCAAAACTTCATCCCTGGTCGTGGCTCAATCTTTAGAACACAGACCAACCACTCATGTTTAGCCGCTCAGGTAAACCACCTCAGGTAACCCTTCAGGTACAAGCCTAGAGCCTTGACTAGCACCCCATACTCCTTTTATGGTCTGTGTTCTGGCCGCTGCGATACCAGGGGTGACTCCTTCATCTTCTGCTTTGCCATACATGATTTTTCTTCACATCCCTTGTACCACGTCCCCACTCCCTGCACCTAACCGCCCTCCTGTGACCTGTCTGCCTCCTCCTTTCCCCAGCAGGGCCGCTGTGTGGATGGCAGGGGTGAGTCCAGCCAAGCACGCCCTGCTGTTTGCACGCCACCAGTGGCGGGGAGGATGGCAGGGGTGAGTCCGCGCCAGCCCAGCAGCCCAGCAGCCATGCGATGGGAGAGTATCTGGGATGGGAGAGTATCTGGGATGGGAGAGTACCTGGGATGGGAGAGTTCATGCCACGGACCATTCCAGCTAAGAACTCTCTGCTCCTCCCTTAACCTGGCCCTTCATTTTACGTTGTGAAATTTGTCGTACTCTTCCCAGCCCCTCTCTATTCTCATCCCCGGTCGTGGCTCGGTCTACAGAACACAGACCAACCACTCAGGTATTACCCCCCCTCACGGAAAATGCTCAGGTGATTCGTCGGGTTGTATTTTGAGTCGACTCAAATTACAACTTTGGTAGTTCCGTCGGGTGCAGCCTAGCCTCAGCCCCAGATTCTTGACTAGCGCCCCTTCCTTTGCCCATCCCATGGTCTGTGTTCTACAGCTGCTGCTACGCCAGGGGTGAATCTTCCATCTGCTCCTGTGCAACGAGTATATACTCTTTCACTTGACAACTTCCCCTCTCCCTGCCCCTAATCGCCCTTCTGTCTGCCCCGTCCCCTCCCCCCAGCAGGGCCTCTGCGCTGGTGGCCCTATGGGCGGATGGGTGGGGAGCGAACCTAGCTGGGGAGGTATCTGGCTGTGGTGGTCAAGCACTTGACCCCTGTTTGACGCGCCCCTGCTGTTTGCCAAGGGAGAGTGTCGGGGATTGGTGCTGCCACAGCAGGTAAGCCTCTCGCTCCCTTGCCTCTGGTCCTTTTACTGCTTCCACTGCTTTTCTATTCCATGCTTCTGTTCTGTCTGTTGGCAGTCTCAGCACGTTAGCCACTCACTTGTGTCTTGCTCGCTTCTTCCCCCTCCTCCTCCTCCCTTGCAGCTCTTGGAATCAAGCAGCTCTTGGACAGGAGTTGCTCTTGGAGTTGAGCAGCAGTTGGGAGAGGGCAGGAGGGCGGGATGCAAGCCGGCCAACTAGGCAGCTGATCAGCTAGCAGCTTATCAGCTAGCAGCTGGTGGTGCTACTGCCTTGCAACCACCAAAGCAACCAGCTAAGTATTCCTGGCTCTTTAAACCTCACCTCACCATGTTCTTCTGCCCACACCACACCTCACGGTTTCATTCACATTGTGGTGCACATGTCAATTGCATTCCTAAACTCTCACCCCTGGCCCAAGGCTCAGCCTACAGCACACAGACCAGCCCTCAGGTAACCCCTCAGGTGATTTCCCCAGGTGAATCCCGCAGGTGCTTTTCCAGGCAATACCCCCCAGGTACTTTTCCGCACCTAAGCCTTAGAGACTGTGCCAGAGCTCTTTACGGTCTGTGTGCTATAGCTGCAGCTATACCAGGGGTGTTCTTCTTATGCTTTCCATTGCTGTTCATGAGCTGTTCTCATCTCATCCCATTTGCTCCCATCTCATATGCTGTAATCCCATTTGCTCTCATCTCATATGCTGTAATCCCATTTGCTCTCATCTCATATGCTGTAATCCCATTTGCTCTCATCTCATATGCTGTAATCCCATTTGCTCTCATCTCATATGCTGTAATCCCATTTGCTCTCATCTCATATGCTGTAATCCCATTTGCTCTCATCTCATATGCTGTAATCCCATTTGCTCTCATCTCATATGCTGTAATCCCATTTGCTCTCATCTCATATGCTGTAATCCCATTTGCTCTCATCTCATATGCTGTAATCCCATTTGCTCTCATCTCATATGCTGTAATCCCATTTGCTCTCATCTCATATGCTGTAATCCCATTTGCTCTCATCTCATATGCTGTAATCCCATTTGCTCTCATCTCATATGCTGTAATCCCATTTGCTCTCATCTCATATGCTGTAATCCCATTTGCTCTCATCTCATATGCTGTAATCCCATTTGCTCTCATCTCATATGCTGTAATCCCATTTGCTCTCATCTCATATGCTGTAATCCCATTTGCTCTCATCTCATATGCTGTAATCCCATTTGCTCTCATCTCATATGCTGTAATCCCATTTGCTCTCATCTCATATGCTGTAATCCCATTTGCTCTCATCTCATATGCTGTAATCCCATTTGCTCTCATCTCATATGCTGTAATCCCATTTGCTCTCATCTCATATGCCGTAATCCCATTTGCTCTCATCTCATATGCTGTAATCCCATTTGCTCTCATCTCATATGCTGTAATCCCATTTGCTCTCATCTCATATGCTGTAATCCCATTTGCTCTCATCTCATATGCTGTAATCCCATTTGCTCTCATCTCATATGCTGTAATCCCATTTGCTCTCATCTCATATGCCGTAATCCCATTTGCTCTCATCTCATATGCTGTAATCCCATTTGCTCTCATCTCATATGCTGTAATCCCATTTGCTCTCATCTCTCTCCATGGGTTTACTCTCCCCTCACCTCCTAAACCCCCCCCCCTGCCGCCCCATCCCCCCCCCCCACCACCCAACCCACCCGCCCACCTACCCACCCTGCAGTGCCCTTGGCAACACCTGGAAGATTGCAGCAGAAATAGCAGCAGCAGCAGGAGGGCAAGAGGGCAGCAGCAGCAGCAGCAGCAGCAGCAGGGTGTAGGTAGTTGGCGGGCAGGCTAGTTCGGGCCGAGGAGGTAAGATAAAGGTGTGGTGTCTGTCAGGTAAGGTGTGGTAAGGTAAGGTATGGTATAGGCAGGTGATCTCATCCCTCTCCTCCATGCATCCCTCCCTTCAGATCTCGTCTGAAGCTCTGGGATGACGTCAGCAGGTTGGAGGCCCCCATCTCAACCCCCCCCCTTTCCCCCGCCCCCCACCCCAACCACCCTCACCACCCCCACCCCCCCTCCCACCACCACCACCACCACCACCACCACCACCACCATCACCACCCAGCCCCCCCCCAAGCAGCGTCATCCTTGGTGGTGCTTTGAGGCACTAAGGTAAGTGAGGTACGTTGGGAGGAGAAGGGAGTGGGGGGTGGGCCAGTGCTCTCGGTGGGTCGTGCCCTGTGGGCCAGGTGGCGGCAGTGAGGTTGTTTGAGTGTCAAATCTCTGTGCTTGGGCCCAATACCCGTCGTTTAAGGCATAATAGGCCAAATCAGAACCTGGCGGCCGCAGGTTTCTGTGAGGCAAGCTCTTGCCACGATGGTGAGGGGCACCCAAGTCTTGGGCTGACCTCGCAACCCACCACTGCTCCACTTGGGTCACAGGGCTTGGGCCACTGGGAGCGCTGTGCTGCGAGGGAGGTGTGAATGGGATTGATGGTATGGAGGTGGTGTGATAGTATGGAGTGGTGTGAGAGTATGGAATGGTGTTATAGTAAGGCATGGTGTGATAGTAGGGCGTGGTGTGATATCATGGAGTGGTTTGATAACTTGGGGTGTGACATGGAGTGGAGTGATAGCATGGGGGGCGGGTGGTAATGTGTGGGGGGGGGGTTGATAGTATGAGGGTGGTTGATAGTATTAGGGGGCTTGCTGATATCGGGAGGGGGGGTGATAGTATGGGGTGGGGTGATACCATGAGGGGGGGTTATCAGGAGGGTTGATAGTATGAGGGGGGGTGATAGCATGAAGGGGGGTGATAGTATGAGGGGGGTTGATAGTGTGAGGGGGGTTGATAGTATGAGGGAGGGTGTTAGCATGAGGGGGGGGGGGGGGGGGTGATTGTATTGAGGGTTGTGTGACGACATCAGGGGCGGTGATAGCATGAGGAGGGGCGATAGCATGAGGGGGGTGATAGGGTGAGGGTGGGTGATAGCATGAAGGGGGGTGATAGTATGAGGGGGGGGGGTGATAGTATTGAGGCGTGTGTGATGGCATCAGGGGGTGATGGCATCAGGTGGGGTGATAGCATGAAAGGAGGAGAGGGGGGGGGGAAATAATATGATGGGGGATGATGTTACGAGGGGGGGTGATCGTATTAAGGGGGTTGATGGCATGAAGGTGATTGTATGAGGGGAGGTGATAGTGTGGGGGGGGGGAATGAAAGAGGGTAATAGTATGGATTGGGGTGCTAGCACGAAGGGGGTGATAGCGTGAGGGGGGGTGATTTTATGGAGGGGGGTGGATTGAAAGGTCTGGTGATATGTTAATAGATGTGCTGATATGGTATGGTGTGGAGTGGGAAGATATCTTGTATGGACTAGTGGACTGGTGTGTTAATACTTGGCGGGTCTAGAGTGTTACTGCATGGCATGGTGTGGTATGTTACTGCATGCCATAGTCTGGTTTCGCACTGCTTAGTATGGTGTGCCATGAATGGCATGGTCTGGTATCTCACTGCATGGCGTGGTGTGGGATGTTACTGCATGGTATGGTCAGGTATGTTACTGCATGGTATGGTGTGGCATGTTACTGCTTGGGATGGTGTGGTATGTGACTGCATGGCGTGGTGTTGTATGTTACTGCATGGCATCGTGTGGTATGTTACTGCATGGCATGGTGTGGTATGTAACTGCATGTGGTCTGTCGATGGTGTGGACGCCCATGCAGGATGCTGAAGTGGAGCTAGGAGGAACGAATACATGTGCTTAGGGGTATAGCATATTGGAGTGGAGAAGAGACTACACTTATTCGTGCAATTATCCTGATTCCACCTTCCATACCTAAAGTGGGGCTAATGTTGTATCTATATTTTGGGAATATGGCTGAATGCTGTAGTTCACCTAGGAATTGTCCAGGTTGGGTGAGGCTGCAACGAGAATGGTAATTTATGGATGTATCATGCAAATTCCATGTGAAGAAAGTTAACAATCCTATGCATATTATTATGGAAACTTAGTGTGACATCCCTCAATCTCGTAACTTGTCGCCACGAAAGAACGAGTCGCGCTGGTGTGCCATGAAGCTGAGTGGCGGGAAACATCGCCAGGCGCAGCGCTTCACACGGCCCTGCCCTCCCGCCTGCGTCGCCCAAATACCTCGCTCCTATTGGCTGGCACCAATTCTCTGGGTGGGCTCTGTTCTGCATCAGATGTTCTGCGACGGGCGACCGCATGTTTTTGCCCGCACGGCTCTGTATCTGCCGTTCTCTCCGCGCACAGCCACATCGCAAAACTGTGGATCATCGCCCAGCGTTTTTCGCGAAACCATATCATATTTTGAGTTCAGAGCAATTTTTTCCCTTCTTCCTCTCCGTATATCTTCGCAAGTTACCCTTCGCACGAAACCTGGTAACTCATTGAAAATCATGGGGGTCACCCGAGCCGAACAAGCGACTCGATTCTCCGCTTTCTTTGCCTTGGCCAAATCACTAGAGGCATTCTGTAGCGACATTTTGACAGCCGATTCCGAGGCGACTCGTTCCCATGGCTGTCGCACAGCAACGCCACCCCTACAACACGAGCATCTGCCGCTGTCTTAGCTCCGGCGCCCGTCATTCCGCAACGAGATACGTGAGGCCTGTTGGACGCGTGTCCTCGGGCGATTAGGGTTAGCTTGACCGAAAGCGTGACGGCGACGGGGGACTGTGAGGGATGGACGGAGGTTGGTGAGGTAAGGTAAGCCTAGGAAGAGGTTTCGTCAGGCATCTAGACTGGCTCGAACGGCATCCAACGTCCCACCCGGCGACCGCCTTAGAGGATTCGTAGCCAGCCAGCCCTGGGTAGCGAGACTGACTGCCAGCGTCCGGCTTATCCTAGAAGGCATATACCGTATTATTCCCAGAAGGACGCGCTTTAGGCGGTCTTGGTGTAGGAGCTGCTGACGACTCGAGCGGAACAGGTGCTGATGCGCGTAGCGAGTGGCAATATAGGTTCTAAGGCTGCTGGAGATTCAGCTGCTGGAGATTCAGCTGCTGGAGATTCAGCGTAGCTTGCACCCACTGAACGAGCGCAATAGTTCAGCTGTAGAGAACATCCGCGGTTAGTGACTTGAAAACCTGAAGCTTGAAGTCAGCTCGCTCGCTGTAGGCCGAATACGAAGTCGCTTATAGATCAATCTACCCCCTTCTACTCTTTCACGTTCTCTCTTTCTCGTAGGGCAGCCGCCCCTACTTTCCGCCATGTCGGGTGACTTAGAAACCGCCGCCGCCGCTTCCGGCGGCAACGCCGCGTCAGATGGGCTGGTGCACGCCGGCTCGGCTGCAGCTGCTGCTGCTGGAGCCGCCGGGAAAGCCGCGGGAGCCGGCGCGGACGTCGCGGGTGGCGAGGCTATTAAGGACGCTCTTAAGTGGCGCATCGACGTGGAGGACTACGAGTCGGAGGACGGCAGCAGCGTGGTCGGCAGCGTGCTGGAGAGCTTGCCGGCCAGCATCCCGGAATACCCGGCGGCGGCAGCGGGCGCGCAGGAGGAGGACGATGACGAGGATAAGAACGATAACGAGATTTCGGTGCGCTCTTGTCACTCTCCTCACTCTCCTCACTCTCCTCACTCTCCTCAGTCATTGCCTCACTTGCATAACTGTTTCCCCTCACCTGAATTCTCCTCACTGATTAGTCACGCTTGGTCAGCTGGGAACTCAGTTTTCCTGCTGATAAAATCTTGCTTCCCGTTCCGCCTTTCTCCCCCTGCGCGCAAACGCCCCCCGCTTCTCCCCCTCCCCTACTCCCCACCGCCCCACTCAATCATTACCTTTCCCCCTTCCCCGTGCAGTTCATCGGCGGAACGCGCCCTCCCGTCGTTGGCTCCGCGCCAAGCGCCAAGGCTGCGCCGAGCGGAGCGCGCCCTTTCGCTGGTGTCCCCGCGGGTCTTGCGCCACAGGAACCCGTCCTAGTCGAGCGGACGGCAACCGCCCCCAAGCCCACCCCCCCCTCGGCTTCAGCATCCGCTGCGCCAGAGCCGCTGGGAATGGCGCGCGCGCAATCCATGGCTCCGCCCGCCGCGCCCAGCATGGTTTCCGTGGAGGACTTCACCTCTGCGCAGGCGGAAGTCGGGCGGCTTTTCGCCGCGCTGAAAGAGGCGCGCGGAAGGCGCGCGGACGGGCCGCAGGAGCAGGAGATCAAGGCGGCAGAGGTCGCGCGTCTGCAAGCCGCGCTGAAGGATGCGCGCGCCAACGTCGCGCGGCTGGAAGCCGTGCGCCCGAAGCAATCCGCGTCTGCGGGGAGCCAGGGGAGAGCGCCGGCGGCGGCAGCGGGGGCGGGAGTGGCGGGGGCTGGCGGAATGGGGATGGCGCGAAGCATGTCTGAGATGCCCCCGCGCGCTAGTCTGATGACGTCGCCCGCACGTCCCGCCGCGGGTTCCGCCGCCGTGCCCGCCACTGCCTCTCCCGTGCATCCTTCCGCCACGCCCCTGCGCCCCGCCACGGCGGGCTCCCGCGGAGTGGCGCTTTCCGCGAACCAGCCAGCGGAAATCCGCAGGACAGTATCGTTTGCGCCTGCGCCTGGTGCGCCAAGCGGAAGCGGAAGCCCCCCGGTTGCGCTTCAGCAAGCCGCGTCTCATCAGCCCCGCCCAGCCCCCCCAGCCGCCGCTGGTGCCGCTCGGCCCGCTTACGTGGCGCCGCCATCTGCTTCTATGATTGCTCCTCCCGCCGCCGCCGCCGCTGCAGCCGCCGCAGCCCGCGGCGGGGGATATGATAAGGAGGATAAGGACGACTCGCTGTCGGGCGTGGGATGGGGGTCGCAGACACGTGGCAGCCTCGTGTCGTCCGACGACATCCCGTCGTCCGCGTCGCACGCGGCTTCGCAGGCGACACCCCCCCAGAGCGGGATTGGCTCCCCCTGGCGCACGCAGAGCTCCCCCTACCGCTTCTACAAGAGCCCTGCGGAAGGCGCGGGCGCAGCCCCTGGCGCAAGCGGCGGGTATGGCGGAAGCTCCGCGGGGTACGCCGGAAGCTCCGCCGCGGGGTACGGCGGGGGAGTGCCGCGCAGGTCGCCTTACGCGGAGTCGGATATGGGCGACGCGGTGTCGGTCGCATCTAGCCAGATCGCGTGGCGCTCCCACGCCGACCCGCGTAGGCAGCACCCGAGCCTGAGCCGCAGGCTCGGGAACCTCCCGGGGCTGGCCGCGGAGGGCGCGATGGTGCCGGACGTCGCGGCGACGATCGCGGCGGCTGGAGGCGCGGCGGATAACAGCGACGCGCAGTCGGTGGCGGCTTCCGAGGTGTCGATCCAGCCCGGGCCGAACAACGCGATGGTGCTCGTCTCAACGGTCAAGC